CTTTCATCAAGACGACAGCGCGTGCACGCTCGTTCGGTTGTGTTCTTTTATTTATTTTATTCCATCGTTATGTTTTTTCTTTTTTTTTTTTTAATATTTTCCCGATGAACGTCGAGACGTCGTCGCCGGCATTTTGAGGCACGAATTTTATATTTCTCCTAAGGAGGAATCCTTTTTTTCTTATCCTTGATCTTCTTCTTCTTCTTCTTCTTCTGTGCGCGACGTGTGCAAATAAATTAATTTATGTGTGCTTCTTCGATGTGTGTATGTGTATGGTGTGTATGGTTTGTTCTGTGTTTGTGAGTATGTGCATGATGCTTGTGTGTCGTGTATGTGTATGTGTTTGTTTGTTTGGTATCTGAGTGTGGATGTGTTTGTTTCTGTGTGAGTGTTGTATTTGTATGCGTATGTAATTTCCTCTTACTTCTTTCATCTTCTTAATTTTTATTATTTCTGTTTAGTTTTGTATTTTAAAGTGTCATCTTTTGTTTTATTTTTTACAATTATTTATAATAAGAAACCGATCGTCTATCGACAACAAGGCTAGGCACAAACTTGAGCTTTGCGCTTTATAAATTTAGTTTCATAATTAGTTTTATTACATTTTACTTATTACTCTCCATTTGATATGATGGTATAAACTTTAGTCTCTGTTTCAGTTTTCTGTTCATTTATTTTAATTTATTATTTCTTTTTCTTTCGTTCTTAAAATGTTGACTTCTTTTCTCAAATTTCTTCAGAATTCTTTTTCTTGGTTTGCCATTTCATTTTCCACTCTCTTTCTCTCTCTTCATCTGTCTCTTTCTCTCTTTCATTCTGGTACACATTCTCATTTGTTTTCTACCATCTTTTTCACTTTTTCTTCTTCCCTAACCTCATTGTCTTCAGTTCATCCTAACCCGAATATGTCAAAATTCAACGAAAATAAATAAATAAGTAATAATAATAATAATAATAATAATAATAATAATAATAATAATAATAATAACAATAATAATAATAACAATAATAATAATAATAAAATTAAAAAAGAAAATGAAAAAAAGAGAGGGGGAAAAACCGATGAAACTACAAAAAAGAATCGATTTAAGATAAATCCTTGAAAAATATTAAATATATGTAATATATAGTAATATTACGTTTATATTAATATATTATAATAAATGTAATATATAAAAATATTATATTTTTTATTGGACCTCCCCCTCCCTTATTAAAATGCGCGTAACTAATACGCCGCCATTTATCCACTGCCGAATAAAATTACAAAAATTTAATCTAATTATTGATGAACTAGGATCACAGGCGCGAAACGACTCACCCTATCCACCGCCCTCCCCATTTCTTTTATTCTTTTTCAATTCGTAATTCGTGTTTTTAAAATCATTTCTATCTTTTCATTCTAACCCCTTTCCCCTAACTCATTTTCATTTCCCTACTTTTTTCTTTATATTTGTATTTAACATGTATGTGTACTACATGTAAGTGTACGTGTACGTGTATATATGAATTATATGTATGTATGTGTGTATGTTTTGTGTGTTTACCCTTAACGATAGATTTAATACACTTCTATCTATTTTTATTTTCCATTTGTAATTGGAAAATTTGAACGCCAGATGTAACATTCCCCCTTACCACCCTTCCCACCCTTCCCCCTAATTGTCGTTGTTCTATTTAATTTTCTTGTGCTGCATTTTCCCGTTGTTTTTTTTTTTTTTGTTAATTTGTTTGTTATTATTATTTAATATTAATGATGTTGTATCTCCCACTCCCATCATAACGAAATCTTCCAATTTATTACGAACACCCAGCACATGTTTTTTTTTTCATGGTTTTTCCTCTTCATCGTAAGAATATGCCATATATTTTTTCCCCTTGCATTAATTTTTCTTTTCTTCTTCTTGTTTTCTTTATTTTCTTCTTTATATGCCGTTAATGTCGATCTTAAGGTTGCCCGTTTTCTTCTCTCTTTGATCCCTGAGAAAATAAAATAAAAATAATTAGAATTTATGTTTCAAAAGATAATTGAAAGTAAAGATAATTATAAAATTTTTAAATTATGAATAAGGCTCTGCTAATATTTATTTTATATTTTCTTTACCATTTATTAAAAATATCACAAAGTAATCTTTAATGGATTAGAAATATTGTTATTTTATAATCACCCTTCATATATCGTTTGTTTTAAACGTATGTATTATATATATATATATAATATATATATATGTATATATATATATATATATTATATACATATATAATATATGTATATATATATATTTACTATGTTGATATTAAAAATCAGAATTAATTTTATCACTTCGTTCGTAAGTTAGAGAAATAAAATAATATAAAAACGAAGAGAGAAAGATAGACAGAGAGAGAAATCACAGAAAATAAATGAAAACGTCAAAAGAAAATTAATTTTCAAAGTTAACAGAACGCATTCATTGCATGGTAATTATTATCATTATTATTATCATTATTATTATCATTATTATTATTATTATTATTATTATTATTATTATTATTATTATTATTATTATTATTAGGATTATATAAAGAGATCTTATTTTCTTGTATGTACAGAGTGATTCATCAATTCTTGTCACCTTAATAGCTTCAAAAATATGATTGTACCAAAAAAGTGTATAAGAAAAAAGTTGCATCAAAAATTCAGGACTACAATATTTTTACAAATATTTGTTTACTAGTTCGAGTAATTTTTGAGATTTATTGATCAACAACTTTGTTTTTTTAAATACAATGTTATATTTTAATACTTATTTTGAGATAACTGCTGTTAAGACGAATCCACTGATGTGCAGCATTAAATAAAAACCTGAAAATGACCAATAGAAAACTATTCGGAAAATATCTGTTCCGTCCGTTGTCGGAACAATTAAAAGCTGACGTAACCCTGATGCAATTTTGATCTTCGTTGATTTTGAAAAATATTAATGTTGCACATCAATGGATTCATATTGTAATCCTGAATTTTTCATGCAACTTTTTCCTTATCCACTTTTCTGCTACTGTCAAACTTTCAGTGCTATTTGGGTGACAAGTGTTGGTGAATCATCCTGTACATATTTTATCCTATTTTTCTTTACTAATAATACAAGATAGATAAATTTTTAAAAAATTCGTAATAATACATTTTTTCTATGTAAATTTGACCAACCACGAATTATGTCAGATTGAATTGAAGTAATTTTCAGATACATAATATTCATTTAACATTATTACAAAAGATTTTAACAAACTTAAAAATGTTTTTCCGAAACATGTTTCCTCTCAGTCGTTTGTTTATTAAAACTTTAGAAATTAAAAAATTAATTGAGAATACTTTTTAATCTAGAGAATATGATTTAAATTTACCTAATGTAAGTGAACGTATTTACTAAAATTAAAAAAAAAAAACAAACAAATTTATTTTTAATGAAAATGGGTTGTTCAACATTTACACGATACTTTTCAGAAGAAATTATTTAACAAACAACATCGTTTAACCCGTAATATTGAATGTAGAACAAAAAAAAAGAGAGAAGTTTGTTTAAAAATCTTTTAAACAAATATAATTATAATCAAGATCAGTGAATATTGTTCGTGAAAAGTAAATTTTACGATCGTTCAAATTAAAGAAAGAAGAAAAATTGATGAACAAATGCTGACTCCGAGATGAGATATTGCAAATACAAGCTTTTCAAAATAAAACATTGAAAATAGAAGGAAAAAAAAGACAAGAAGAAGAAGAAGAAGATAGAAAAAAAGTAAAAAAGACTTGAAAAAAAAAAATTAATAGCAAATTTCTATGAACCAACATGACCAATTTATATCGCATATAATTATCGACGAGAAAAAATAAAAAAAAAAGGGAAAATGCTGTGTCGTGTTCGTGATCACCTTCTGTAAAAAAAAACCAATCTATGTACATACATATATACATAAATACATATGTATAATAATACTACGTAGAAAAGACCACGACCGTTGTACTATATTTCCTTCTACTTTCGTTATTACAATGATGGAATTAGAATTGGTGCGGGACGAGAGTTAATAGCTGACTAATCAAGCATTAGAAAGAAAAAAAAAGAACTAAACCATTGGGCGTGTGCTTTTCATAGGGGTGAAAAAGGTAACTTTAAAATTAAATTAGAGGAAAAGGATTAGATAGGATCCGAGTGGCTTAGATTCGTGTAGTACGTTGACAAATAAATAATTAAATAAATAAATATTCATATAATATATATAAACAAAACAAAAATATTTCAAATATTTCAAGTAATCATCCAGTAACCACCATTAACTTCGAAACAAATATTGCGCGCCTAATTCAAATATTATTTTTATATTTATATATAAATCTCACGATTATTAATTAATTAATTAATAATAATAATAATAATAATAATAATAATAATAATAATAATTAAGAAAGTTCATAAAAAAATTAAAGAAAAAAGATGTAATATAATAATAAATGTAAGTTTTTTTTTTTAATCCGATTGATATTGTTGATTGTGTTTATCATAGACAAAATGAAACCTACTTCGATCCAGAAATTTGTAAAGCCCACCTCGGCCATTTTTGATTTTGCATATTCGATTCTTATCGCTCCTCGGTCGGAGGAGAGGAGAAGGGACCCCTGGAGAGCGGACATCGCCTGTGCCGCGTAGCGTACGTCTTGATATTCGACGAAGGCCACCGGTGACCCTCCCTTCGTGTGCATACGAAGCCGGGAGAAACCATGGTAACTGTGCATAAATAAGATAAAACGTGCTTTTGTTAGTTGTACAGAGGTTTTTTTTCTTTTTTTTTCTAGTTTTTTTTGGTTGGGTTACAGGACATTTAGCTTTAAAGATTTGGTGGGTTGCGGGGATGCGGGTAGGTAGCAGGTGAAGAAAGGGACAGTTAATAAAAACGTGCTTTTTGTTAATTGTACAATGGGATTTTTGTTTGCTGCTAAAAAAGGTTAATTTCTTTTCGGTTTCGGGAAATGTAGCTTTGAAAATTGTAGGAGGTTTTGGGGTTGGGTGTAGGTAGCAAGTGAAGAAAGGGATAGCTAGTAAAAACGTGCATTTTGTTAATCCTACGATGGGATTTTTGTTAACTGCTATAAAAGGGTTTTTTATTTTTTTTTTGGAGTTATAACTTTGAAGGTTATAAGAGGTTTTGGGGTTGGGTGTAGGTAGCAAGTGAAGAAAGGGATAGTTAGTAAAAATGTGCTTTTAGTTGATCGTACGATAGATTTTTGTTTGCTGCTAAAAAAGGTTTTTGTTTTGGTTTGATTTTAGAAAATATAGCTTTGGAGGTTAGGAAGGTTGTAAATGATGGTAGGTCTAGGTAGCAGGGGAAGAAAAGGAACAGTTACTTAAAACGTACATTTTGTTAATCGTACGATGGGATTTTTATTTGTTGCTAAAAAAGGGTTCTTATTATTTTGTTGTTTCTGGAGATATAACTTTGAAGGTTACAGAATGGTAGATGGAAGGTTGTGTATAGGGATGGGGTTAGATATTAGATGAAGAAAGGAACAGTTAATAAAAACGTGCACTACATCCTACGATTGGATTTTTGTTTGCTGCTAAAAAAGGATTGTTTTTATTTCTACTTTCAATTGGGGTTGGTTTTGAAGGGTTTGTTAGTAAATTGCTTGCAATAATTGCCAGTGATAACTCGTGCAAAATAATGTTTATAATAATTTACTGCCAACTGTGCACGCGTGTGGTTTCATAGGGGTTAAAATAAGGATAAATAAAGTTAAGTGCATAGAAACAACCCCTACATTGGAATTTCGCAGATACCGTGATCGGGTATTTCGAATGGTTACCATTGTAAAACGATCGTTTTTTTGCGATATAAAATCTAATTTTTGGATAGTTTTATTCGGTTTTTTTTTCCACCCACCCCCATCCCCAAGTTTTTTTTCTGGTCTTCGATTAGCGGATTCGTGTCAAATTGATCAAACGAATATGTGTGTGTGAAAGATGAACAAAAAATATTTGTTATCACGTACTGTCAACTTTGAAAATTCAAACATCGATGTTTCTTGATCGATCAATCGATCTATCGATCATTCGTAGTCGGATTATTAAAAATTAAACGAGAATCCAACTTTTGATCCAAACGATTTGAATTACAATCCAACAATTTGACAAATTCAACGATTTGAATTAAACAAACGAGTCCAGTTTTCGTCAAATTTGTTACAATTATTGTTTGTTAACAAATCGTTTAATGTGAACTAAACAAAAAAAAAACAAAAATAAGAAGAAAAGAAGAGAAGAAGAAAAAAAAGAAAATTAGAAAAAAATCAATTTTTTAATCTGTAAAATTTCTTCTTGTACGCGTATAAAAATTTTGAAGAAATTCTGACCTGCTGAAGATGTCCTTGAGCTCTTGTTCAGATACAAATTGACCAAGATTAGCGACAAACAATGTTGAACATGGAGCGTTGCTAACTGCAATATTTGGTTGTGACGAGGGCGAACCAACTGGTGATGCCAATGCCGGTGATGGTAAGAAGTGTGGCAGAGATGCGTGTATTGATGTTAATGTCGTTGGATGGGGTAAAGACATAGGTGCCTGAAATTAATTTCAACATTTTCATATATAATAATATAAAAATAATTAAATAATTAATAATAATTATCAATTATATTCCGAAAATAATATTTATCATCTATATAGAAATATTTAAATTTTTTATACCATATATAAAGTATATTATTATTATTATTATTATTATTATTATTATTATTATTATTATTATTATTATATGTATTTTTAATGTTGTATACGTTTAAATAATAATTATCAATTATATTTAGAAAATAATATTTATCTATATAGAAACATATTTAAATAAATTTGTTATACCATATATATATAATATATTATTATTATATGGTATTTATTATATATATTAATATGGTATATATTTAAATTAAATAATTTTTGTTACTATGTATAAAGTATATTATTAATATATATGGTATTTATTAAATATGGTAATATAAAATTATCAAATAAATGAAATAAAAAATTAAAATAAATTATATATGGTATATATTAATATGGTATTTATTATATTATATGGTATAGAGATGGTATATATAATTAATTTTTTTTTAAATTCAATTATTTATAATACCTTTACGTATAAATTTCTTTTCCAATTTATCAAAAACAATTAAACGTTATTAAACAAATAAAATCGTTCGTCGAACAAATAAATAATTTAGGAATAAAATCAAAATTGAAAGATTCTAACCCGAGATAAAATAACCCGATGCGTTAGGTATAGATTATGTTCTCGTCATTGTCATCATTTGTCATCGTCGCATCATCATCGTCATCGTCATAGTTTGAATTGTTAGTCATTGAAATCACTCCATGTCAGTCAAATGAAATTGACGTATATTTCATACGTAAACGTCATAATTATTTTATTTTTTTGTTTTTTGTTTAAATATCCTATTTGGACACACCGCATGATTCAGTAATCGAATATAACGATCATGTGTATCACTAACGTGCATCGGGGCGCTCGTCGGCGGCTCCAGAGCTTTGTCTGCTGATAGTCAAAGATAGGAACGTACGGGGACCTGAGGGTGTAACGCTGGATGCACCAGCGTTGCATGTTGTAGTGCGCCAGGTAATTCTCCTGCCGTTGAATACGTCAATGGATGGTGCCATAGTTCAGGACCACCAGGGAAAAATGGACTTCCTATGTCTGCAATAAAATTTTGTATTAAAACAAACAAAAAAATTAAACAAAAATTAAACAAAAATATTGATGAGATCTTTTTTTTATTTTTTGAATTTTTCTATAATTTAAATATATATATATATATTTAAATAAATTATAATAAATATATTTAAATAAATTATTATAAATTTTAATAATTAAATTTTAGTAAATATTAAATATTTATAAATATATATAATAATATATTATATAAAAAAACTATATATATTTAAATATAATACATTTACAATACAATTTATAATTAGATATATATATTTGTAATTTTAATATTTCAATACAAATTCTTATGTTATACCATTTTAAGATATTTTATAATATTGTTTAGATAAAATTAATATAATCGTGTAAAACCAAACTCCTCTCATTTATATATATATATATTTTTTTTTTCTAATAATACTTTAACATATTAATTTTATTTTTAATATAATATAAACTAATGAAAAACGAATAACCCATTTAAAATGAGTTTATTTCTCCGTATTACTATTTTCATTTGATTCTTATCATACATTTCGTTGCAAAAATTTCTTTCTTAGAAAAAAAAAAAAAGGAAAATAGCTTTTATATGCAAATGTTTTTACGTTGTTCGCAGTATAATTATATGCAATAAAAAAAAGGAGAAAAAAACAGAATAAGATGTAAAGATTTTCACGAATAATGTCGGATTTATAAAACACACACACTGTAATAACACACTAATACGTGCTATTGCTATTATAGATCTGATGCGACATGTCCGCATATTCCTGACAATATTAAATTTTCAACGTGGGACGGATTAAATCAATCGTGACGGTGAGTAATTTTAAGTTAAATTGTTGATGGCTTAGAGAGAGTTGCCATGTTTCGAAATACCAATCGATAAAACAAACTGCTATTCACGTAGAACCGCGCGCATGGTACGATAGTAAAACGAACGACGATATATTTCCCCCTCCCCCCTTCAGCTGCAAAAGTAGCTTTTGATAAACGTAAGAGTTCTTTCTTTCTTTTCCACCCACCTCCACCCACCTTCTACCCTTTTTCTTTCTTTATATGCTGATCATAACTCGGTTAACCAAAGAACTTAACCCATCACCCGTCACAATACGAAAATACAGAAAAAAAAAAATTAAATTAACTGTATAATGATTTGTATACTAATCAAATAGAACTATTTTTGCAGCAATTGCTTTTTTTTCTTTTTTTTTTTGATTGTCCAATTTATTTAGACACGAGATTCTAAAATGAGACCCAATGATATAACACATGATTAAATACTTGTTATGTTATTAAATAATATTTAACTTACTTAACTTTGATCATTTTTTTTCTATAAAATTAATTAGTAATACTTTTTAAATTGTTTTTTTCTTAACCAGTTAACTGGGGCACTCCATTTTGAAATTAAGCACCGCTGTGTGTCGCTACAATCGACCTGATGACAAGTTTTGAGGTTAAAACTGCTTATTTATGAAGGTAAAAGAACTCTAAAAATAAAAATAAAAATAGTAATTTAAAATTTTTTAATTTCTTCTTACTAATTTTAAAATTTGAGATTACGTTTCGTTTTATTTACAAAAATTACAAATTTTAAATAGCTAATGGTTATAACTTTGTAAACATGACGAATATACTCTTCAAACTCAGTTAACTGATTAATTATCCAATTTGTTTAAACTTGAGATTATAAAATGAGTACGAATGATATAACAGATGATCAAATTATTATTATATAATTAATTCATATTATTAATTACCTATTAGTATAATATATTCGCGTATGAGGGATTTAAAATAGATGATATAAGGAAACTAAAACAATAGGATAGAATATATACATACATAAATATATATAAATAATACAAAATATTATTTATATATAAATATATATATGTAATATATACTTAATATAATACTTTATACAAATCGGGTGCAGTGGGTGAATAGAATAGGTGAATAGTAATAGGGTGTTTTAGCGAGTGAATGAGTGGCGGTGCATACTTACGTCCAGTTAGAGGGTGCATCAGAGCAGGGTGCGAGGTGGCTGCTGCAGCGGCTGGTTGCTTGGGTTTGCTAACCTTTGTGTTACTTTTTGCAAATTCCAAACGTATGGTTTGTGGCATATCAGGATCGAATCTAACCCCCTGCTGGAAATAGATTCCCTAAATTAGTAAAAACCGGGCGGGATTTAGGCACACGTACAGAACAGAGCTCTGGGGTTGTGAATGTGTGTGGAGATAAGAAAGAAAGAAAAAAAAAGAAAAAGATAGATAGAGTGTATAAAAAAAAGAGAGAGAGAAAGAGAAAAGAAAATGGGGTCAGGCTTTTTCGTTCAACATTTCAGCAAAATGTCTCTCTCCTTTTTCCATCGTCGCCATCGCATTACTTTTTCATGTTTAACCCTATTTTTTTAACCCCTTACCTCCCATCTACCCCCAGGACTATATAGTAATATCTTCGTAAAAAAAATGAACTACTGGTATATATTTACTAGATTTTTTTTCATAAATATATTCTTATTTATATAATGACACTGACACGCATAATGGCGACGATGTATCGGACAATAAATGCATCTACAGGTAGTGCCAATCACGAAAAAGTTTGGGAAAAAGGGTCTCTTAAGGGGTTAAGGGTTGGGGTAATAAGGGGTAAGAATTTATAGCATAAAAGGAGCACGCGCATGTGCGTACGTGGTTTGTTTTTTAAAAATAAGTGGATCGTTCCTCAGTCCTTTTTTTTCTACATTTAAATGGAATTAATGGATTAAACTGTGTTAGAATATAATATGTGTGTGATCATCCGACAATAGGATGTTTCTATAAAATCATTGTCATTGTTATAATATTTGTTGCTATTGTTTATATCATTGTCGTCATCGTAATTGTCGTAGTCATCGTCATCATCGTTGTTAATGCTGTTATTGTTGCATACTTGCAAAATATAGGCGTGAGCTTGGGTTGCAGTGGTGTAGTAGATCAAAATATTGATAGTACGTATATACGTGTATCTATACCTATATATATATATATATGTAGAATACAATGTATAGAATCAGAGATCGTAAAACTCCTCCCATTTCACTCTATTTACCACTAGGTAATGGCATTTTATATAATAACAGGATTCAACATAGTAGTACATATATCAAAAAGCTCTATCGCTTGCGTAAGCGATATCCTAAAGCTTTCAAAACATGGCACCAACACCAACAACACTAATACCACCACTGCCAAAACCGTTCGTGGTCCGAGTCCGTTCGTGAACACGGGTCAAAGTTAATATTAGGAATGCTGACGTCAATCTGGTCTTGCAAATAACATTAATTCCACGGATGCATTTTTTGGGAAGAGGTAGGGGGAAGGGGAGTAGGGTGAGTTGCAAGGGAATTGGATGGAAGGGTGTAGAAGGGAAAAAAAGTTGGGTACTTCGAAAATAAAAACGAATACACCTATAGCGAATTCAATTTCAAACGGGTATGTTCATCAATGTTACATAGGTAAAAATATCGTTTACCTTTTACTACGTACAGATAATTAAATATTGAACTTTGTTCCGATTCTCTCTTTCATTTTCTTTTTCTTTTTTACTTTCTTTAGTAATATACTCTTCAAACGATTATCATGACGACGTTTTAAGCGTCGTTCTAACCTACTTCGCTAGAAACTGATGCTCGCAATTACTAACTGGCAAAAGGGTATACTTAAGAGGGAAACAACGAGCTGCGATTCAAACGCAAATCAGTGGGCTTTTATAAAAAAAAAAGAAGAAAGAAAAGAAAAAGGAATATATTTATGAACGTTGAGAAACGCTTACACGAGTACCTACCTACCTACCTACCTACCTACCTAGCTAGGTACCTGCCTACCTACCTACCCTACCTCTACTTCCTTTCTATACAATTAGTTTTGTAAAATACGAAAGTAGTTTAATAACTAAGGTAAGGCGTATAAAACCGACGTTAATCGAAGCACGGTGGTGGTTAATTTTTGCTTACGTTAGAGAGAGAAGAAATGAAGAGAAGTAGTGGAGAGTGAAAGAAATGATGGGGAGCAGAGGGAGAGTGGAGGGGGATTTAAAAAGTAGCAGATAATACTGAAACGTTAAATTTCATTCATACGCGATAAAGGAAGTAAATTAATCGCGTTTAATTATTTCATTATAATTTTAACGAATAATAATAATAATAAATTGACTAAAGAGAGAGAAATTACGTGAACTATAAAATTATTTACTCGACGAGAACGTTCCTGGGGGATGGGGATAGAGGGGAGGTCAAAGAAAAAAGAACGTTTATTTATACGGTCAGTGTTTTTATGAAAAAATTTTGTTTAGAAGAAGAAGAAGAAAAACAACAACAACAACAACGACAACGATGCTGCAGCATTTTTTTTTATCCCCAGATGAGAGAAGCTAAATGCTTGGATCGTGAAAATCACCAGGGGTTAGTTGATTACTGGGGGGGAGGATTATAAATGAATATAAATACTATAATATAGCGGTTAGTCTGTGCAAAATAGACGCTAAAATAATCAAACAGTATACGTATAATTGTGTTTATGTGTGTACGTGTGTTTAAATATAATTGGGGGGTGGGGTGGGTTGGGGAAAGGGGTGTATATATAGATAAATATAGGATTTTAACATTCCATGGCACGTATCGTCTAAAAACATATGGTATATGGTATATATATATATATGTAATATGTACAAAATAAATAAAGATAAAAACGATTTGACTTCAAAGGTACTTTTTTTTTTACTTTTTACCCCTGGGTTCTTTGAATTTCCTATCTTATTTTATCTTAAGCTCACTCACTTACAATACAATATGTGGATTTCTTACCTGTAAATCTTGTTTGGCAGCCTCCGCACCAGCCCTCGTATGGAAAGTCACGAAGCCAACAGGCTAAAATTGTAAATTACGAATTTTATTTGTAAATTGTAAATTACGAATTTTATTTGTAAATTGTAAATTACAAACTGTAATTTTGTAAATTGTAAATTGTAAATTACAAACTGTAATTTTTTGTAAATAGTAAATTGTAAATTGTAAATTAAAAACTGTAATTGTAAATTATAAATTGTAAATAACAAACTGTAATTTGAATATTGTAAATTGTAAATTACAAACTGTAATTTTTTGTAAATTATAAATTGTAAATTACAAACTGTAATTTTTTGTAAATTGTAAATTACAAACTGCAATTTTGTAAATTGTAAATTGTAAATTGTAAATTATTTTTTTCTTATTCAGAGTAATTAATAAGACAATATTAAAATTTTATTATTGATGATATAAAGTATTAAAAAAAATAAAAATAAATAAAAACCAATCGGTTATTCGAATAATTTTATTTTCCTTCTAACGATATAATAAAACGTAATTCTTTTTCATTTTTTTCTTTTTCTTTTTTTCTTTTTAATGCACATGCATAACCAAGAATGAATCATTGAATTATTCATATGTGTGTTACGTTTGACGAAAAAGGTCGTTTTAAATATTCCACGAATTATCGATGCCAGGTGGTTTATAGGATAAACGTATACGGTCAGTAAGTATAACATACATAGTTGTTCATAATGTTTGATCGCAACTTTTTCACAAGAATTTTTTATTATTATTCTAGACAAACTAAAGACAAGAGACGAACTAGAAAGTTTTCGTAAGAATCGTACGTGCATATGGAAAACGACATATTATCAACTAAAGAAATTTATTTTATATGACATTGCAACCTCGAAAAGACTAAAAACTTTTCACGATTCTATGTGTATGTGTGTCCTTTAAATAAAAATATGTTATACGAGTTTGATAATATAATAAATTATGATAAACGTAAGATGGACGTTCCAAAGTTATCTCTCTTTCTTTTTCAGTTAGGGTCCATTGTCCTACTTTTCACATTATCATCCCTCTTTATACTCTTGGGTATACTACGAAACTATTGTATTTTATATCGGTAAATCCATTATGCACGTGCATCTCTGCATCTAAACTTAAGTGATATATATTATACATACATGTATGGTATATACGTGTATCATAACTCTGGATCGATGAACTTCCACGAATTTCAATGCCCAACACTACTACCACTACCATTACCAATTTAACGATAAGTTTTGTTAACGCGCACGAGCACATATGTGAGGTTTGAGGTGAATGCGTGTCAGGTTTGCACAAACATTATACTTCAAGATAAAAAAGCTTTATCACATGTTCGACACGTTTTTTCCCCCTTACTTTTCATGTTAATGAAAAATATTATCAATTTGTATTTTAATAATACACCATATTTTAAGTGTATTTAGATTAAATATTTTTTTTTATTAATTTGCATCATGTATATTAATTTGCATTAATAATAGAGATAAAATTTTAAATATATTTATATTAAATTATATAAATATATTATAATTAATATATTTATATAAATATAATTAATTTATATTAATTTGACAACGCCGCTCGAGTTAACTCGAGCGTGCAACTTAAAGGGTTACAATTAATTATTTTATATTAATTTGCATATATATATTTATATCAATTTGCATTAATAATAGAAAAGATTATAAATATATTTATATTAAATATTTTTTTTTTGTAATAATTTGCATTATATATATTTATATCAATTTGCATTAATAATAGATAAGATTCTAAATATATTTATATTAAATATATTTTTGGTATTAATTTGCATTATATATATTTATATCAATTTGCATTAATAATTGATAAGATTTTAAGTATACGTAGTTAAATGAAATATTTCAGAAAATATTCTTGTAAATTATGAGACATTTTTTTGGGTATTCTATTGGCAAAAAAAAAATGTCACTAATCTAATATCACTATAACAGTTAATACATTTGTCTATAAATGTTTGAATACTTTCTAACGAAAATGGAACTTGGATCGATGGCTTCGGTAAGATGGCCCCCAACCATCACGTTCGTAACTTTCTTATATTTCGGTAACATCTCCCTGCTGTTTTATTTCCGACTACGTTACCATAGGGAAATACAACTTTCCTTAACTCAATATATATATATATATTATATATTATATACCAGAATAAAGTATATAAGGAAAATAAAATATAATTTTTCTTTTTTTGAAATATTTAGTTCGATGGAAGACAAATTGTATTTTATCGTATAGTTTATTTTTTATTTGGAATAATATTCTATTTGTATTAATTCATTTTATAGGCTTAACAAACTTCGAAATGAAATAATTGTGAAAATTAACTATATAAAATTGTTTATTTAATTATTAAAAAAAATATTAAACTCACCGACGCCGTCTTTCCATTTTTACTCGTAACCTTCAGCAATGATCCCTCGTAACCCTAAAACGAAATAATAAAAAACGAAAAATTATATTCACTACCATGTGCTATTTTATCGTTGATCCAATGGGAGAAATAGAAAAAAGAAAATAATAAAAAATTCATCGATAAATAATAATCGATATTATTACCAAATTTTATTAGAATATTAAATTTTATTTGATCATTGAAAACGAGAGTAAAACTTTTTTCTTTTATTTCAATATCTTTTTCGTAACTTTTACGATAAATTGCATGTTACGTGAAAATTGTTTTGTGTGTAAGTCATTGAATAAAAAATGAAATAAAAAAAAAAAAAAAGAATAAAATTAAAATGAAAAAGAGACCAAAAAAAGAAAGAAAAAAGACGATTAAAGTTGTTCTCCCCTTACGTGTCGGCCCTACTATTACGATGAATAATAAAATAGTAGGGGGGTTGCAAGAGAAAGAAGACAATAGGGAAAAAAAAGAAAGCAAGGGAGAAAGAAAAAGAAGAAAAAAAAGGGGGAAGAAAAGAGAAAAATATAAAATAAAAAAAAGAGAAAAAAAGAAAAATAGAAGAAGAAAAAAGAAAAAATAAAAGAAATAATGGTAATTCGTGTGCTGACCTCGTATGCTCTGAACAGCAGGTACAGTTCTCGAGGCTTGGCGTCCATCGGTAAGCCGCTCACGAACAACGTGCGCACCTGAAAAAAGAAAAAAAAGAAAAGAACGATAAAGAAGATTAAAGAGATACCCTTTTAAACGAAAGATGTGTTGGACCACCTAAGGTAAATAAATACGAACAATCTGTATCAAAAGATTTGCATATACATTTCTACATATATATACGTTATTACAAAGTAATAAAAATATATAAAATACTAACTGAGAAAACTAAAATTAAAAAATATAAAAAACATTAAATATTTTTTCTTTCTACTATAAATATATATTTTTTTTTCCTTTTTTTTTTTTAATAGTGTATGATATATTGGGGTGCATCAAAAATACATACGTTTTTATTATATTGTAATTTTATTTTTAAAATTGCATAGGGGATTGTTTTTATTCTATTTTTTTTCTGTAAAATTTACGTTGGAAATTTTAATTAACATGCATGAACTTTTAGTTATCCCTAATATATATATATATATATATATATATATATATATAAATATACACATATAAGTTAATAAGAGATTTTTTATTTTTTATAAATATATATTAATTTTTATATATAATTATTCTAATTAATTTCATATATAATTATTTATTTATTAATATATATTAATTATTTTGTTTCCATTTTTATTCTAACGGTGCGAGATATATTAGGGTGCACCAAAAGTACAAGCATTTTTATTGTATTAAAATTTTATTTTTGAAATTGTATAAGGAATTGTTTTTTTTATTTTTTGTAAACTTTACTTTGGAAATATTAATTAACACACACGAGCTTTTAGTTAACTCTAATATATATAAACTAATTTGAGATATTTTAAAATTATATGCATATGTTATTTTAGCATATGTTATAACATATGTTATTACAACTAGCTGAAAAAAAAATTTTTTAAATATAATAAACATCCAATAATATTTTTTTCTATTATATATTTATTTTTTTTCTATTTTTATTCTAATGTTTCGTGAAATATTAGGATGCACCTAAAGTACGTGAGTTTTTATTTTATTTCAAACTTTACTTTTGAAACTGCATAGCAGATAATTTTTTTTCCGTAAAATTTAGTTTACAAATATTAATTAATACGTACGAATTTTTTATTAAGTCCAATTCATACATTTATAAATTAATTCGAAATATTTGTAAATTAAAATGCATATATAACGTATGTTATATTACTATAGTTTATATGTAATTGTGAGAAAAATAGAATTATGAATTATACAAGATAAGAAATATCCAATATTTTTTTCTATATTATTAATTTTTTTTTTTTAATGGTGGGACATTATGAGTCATTAGATAAAGTAACGTTGCTAGAATACGTCGAAGCGTTTTATAACGACACATAACGACCATAATATATATATATTACGTGTAAAAGATGATTATCGCATTCTCGCGACCCTATTTCATATATATATATACACGTATATATAAAACCAACTGAAAGAAATCGTTCAAAGTTCACCTATTTTTCCCTACAATACGACACGCGACAAAACCATCGTCGTCATATCCTCCACCCCCCTTTTCGTCCTCGTCCTCCTACTCCTCCTCCTCGTAGTTTTCATGATAGAAAGGGTAAAAAAAAGCAAAATAAAAAAGAAAGCATAAAGAAGAAGACTCTTAAGTTGGAAGTTTAAATTTTGCGGATTCTAGTGGGCTCAATAACGAATCTCAAACGGGGCGCATAAGAAGAAGAAGAAGAAGAAGAAGAAGAAGAAGAAGAAGAAGAAGAAGAAGAAGATGATGACGACGAGGATTGAAAAGTTTCGAGTTTAACCAGAACCACCCAGTGCTGAAGAAGGCATAAAGCGTACAAGAAGAAGAAGAAGAAGAAGACGATTAAGGTGGGGCAAAAGTATCAACCGAGTGAAAGCGCATAGTAGAAAGAGATATAGATATAAAGGGATGTTGGATGGTAATAAAGAGAAAGGGAAAGAAAAAAAACGAAGTATGAGTAAGAGGTGAAGAAGAGGGATCGTGGGGGCACAAGGGGGTGGTAGGTAGGAAGGTAGGTAGGCAGGTAGGGAGGTAGGGAAGCAGGTATATTGGCGCCGTCGTGTCTGTGCAACGCCCGGAACGAAAGAAGCAAGCACCGCATGCGAATCACTTATTCATACGCTGTGAAATGATTTCCAACCTTTTGCGTAGTGCTAGGAGACTAACATACATATATACATATACGTGTATATATGTATGTATGTATATATGGTAGGTACGTTCAGAATTTCTTATGTCCTTATGTCCTTTCTTTGTGTACTCGTTCAACAGATCTTACTATATATATATATATATATATATATATATATAGTATAGTATAGTATATATAAATAATATATATATATATATATATTTTTCTATACTATACTTCATTTTATTTTATTTTATATTTTTTTTATTACTAAACCATACTATATTTTACTATATTTATATAAATATACTAGAATGCTTAAACCATGCATTGCTGTGGCTTTGTTATAAAATGTTGATTTAATATAATTTCTAAACTATTTAGTAAATTATAACAACACATAAAATAATACCACAATTAGAATAAAACACATAAAATAATAATACAGGAAAAAATATTAAAAGTAAGGTTAGTTATGTCATATGTAAATCTGAAAAAAACCTAAAATAATTGAGTTGTAATATAATGCCATCTATTGAAAACTTAAAGTACCTAGTTAACCTCTAAATATATAATAATCCTTTAATTAGCAATAAAAAATACACTATAATCGCGATAAAAACTATCTTATGTACTCAATAAAAAAAATTTCACTAAGATCTGTTCAGTAATTTCGAAATTAATTGGAAACTAATAATGTGATACTGTATTTTTATATATTAAAATATATATCTGTGTATGTGTGTGTATTTCTTTTTAAATATTTTATTTTCTTAATATCTTACACTCACATGTTGTATTAATAAAAAAAAATAATGCAATGGTTTTGTAATAACCATTAATGTATAATATTTTTTTTAATTACACGAAGAACATGTCCTCGGAAGAACGATTCAAAGAAGTAAAAGAAGAACTGGTGGCCACCGATTTCTCTTTGAATCTTTTAATGACAAGACACCACCACACTATTGATAAACCTTCTTCCTCCTCCTTCTCCTCTTCCTCCTCTTCCTCGTCATCGTCAGCATTTTTCAACTACATACACTCATACAAACAGACCTTAAAGCTTGAACAATTTTGGATGGTGAATCGTGATTTCCTTCGGGCTTTAAAAAAAAAAGAAAAAAAAAGAAAAAGAGAAGAGAGAGAGAGAGAGAGAGAGAAAATTAGAGGAAAGGAAAGGAAAGGAAAGGAAAGGAAAGGAGAAAAGGGTAATATCAAAGCAGGCAGGGTGCCATATAGGAGTCGGAGTCGAGTCGTGAGTCAACTGTCCGAGAAATATTGGTGACGAAGAAAAAGGGTGGTAAGTTCAGAGAGAAAGAGAGAACAGTAATAGGAAAAAAGGGTCAGAAAGAAAAAAAGAGAGAAAGAGAAGTATCTGAAGAAGAACGTGAGAGAGAAGAGAAAAGGGTTCGCTTGGTTCACTTGGGCCTCTATGGATAACGAGGAGAGTTGGTGCTGCTGCTTCATACGCGCGTGAATGTGGTCGACTTTCAAGTGGAAAACCCTTGGGCTTGGAGGCTCTGGGTGGTTGGTTGTGTTAACGACTATTTAAAACCATCTTTCTTTTTTTTTCTTTTTCTTTCTACTAATTGACAGTGAAAATAAAACACACGTACCGACAAATCTGTAATTAATAAAAAGTAAAACACATAAAATGTTTTATTTAACAATCGCTCAAAATCATGAATAAAACTATTTTTTATTTAATCGATAAAATTATAGGATTCAATGTCAATTTTATCGATCGTTCGTAACATTCACCCCCTCTGCTTCCTATATGAACGTTCGTTCCTTCCTTTCCCCTTCTTTGTTTTTTTCGTGTTCTTTTTTTCACGTTCTCGAACGAACGAACGGATGATTCATAAGGTTTGCGAGACCTTAGATATAACGGGATTACAGGATTCTCTATCAGGATAGGTATGAGTTCCGAGTTATATGTACGTCCAAAGTGAGTAAAGCAAGAAACGGAACGTTGTCGATCGATATGACGACGAGGCTTCTTGGATTAGTATTTTAAAAGCTTTTGCTATGCTGGACGTTGTTAAAAATCGTTACGGCTGAAGGATACGGCTGTCCTCAAATGGGACTGGTATATACATATATTATTATTATTATTATATTATTATTATACATACATACACACATATATATATTATTGTATGATGTATAGATAATGCGAGGGCAAAAGCAAAAAAAGAAAAAAAAACAATTGTGTTAAAGAATGCATGAAAGGAAAAAAAGAAATATACAATATATCTTCTTTAAAGGTATATAAAAGTGGTATATATACTACATGTATATTTCAAACTCTTCTTCTTCTACTACTGCTACCTTTACTTCTTCTTCTTCTTCTTTACTGCTTTCTATACGTTACAAAATGCAAGACAAAGTTGAATAAACGTAGAACAAAAGCAGGCTTATCTACATCGTTCAAATATTTTATTACAAACGCGAGCTTATGGCGCTATTCTACGATAGAAATGGTCGCGCATGCGTACTCTTCTCAAATGCGAATATAACCGGCATAAAATATACTCTTTCTTATATACCTATCTTTCTCTCTCTTTCATCGATCCTTGCATATACACACTTGCATATAATCACTAACTACAGATTCCCTAGCATCCATCGGATTATTAAATGAAATTTAACCTGACTTTTTTTTCTTTTTTTTTTTATTTCTCTCTTTTTCTCTCGATAGTTCGACGTTAACTTTGCCTTCTCTTCTCTTCTCTTCTCTTCTCTTCTCTTCTCTCTCTTTTACCTTTTTAATATTTTATAAGCGACACTTTTATTACTGGCAGAATGTAAGATGGTTATACGTTTCCCATCGACCTTATAAAATATTTCAACTACTTGCGATTATAAATCGACTGTAA